CCTCTTGCTGGGAAGATCAAGCTGTACAGTGTTTGAATAATGTATTCCTGATAAAGGACAGAGAGGATTTTTATAAAAAACATGACTGGCAAGTTCTTGACCAGATCAGGATGACTTCAAATTGAAATTTGAGAGGAGAAAGAAATACCATGCAAAACCTGTAAAACCAAATAACATGAGAGGAAGTGGTTATGAAAGGAGGGTCCAAAATAACACTGTAGTTTCAGACATCTCTCTTCCAATATATAGAGACTGATGTTAAAACCTGAAATTTTAATAAAAGGCAAATATGTTTTCTAACTATATAAATTTATATAAACTTAGTATGTTCTGAAATACCTCTGCAACTTGATGAGAAAATAGTCAAGTCTAGAATGTTACAGTGGGAAAATACGTATATTTGATTGAATTGTATCTAATTGAATACAAGAGTATCATAATCTTATGTCAAGGACAGATATATCCAAAGGAAGTCTTTAAACCTAATAGTGAAAAATATTAGGCTTTGAAGTTATGATAAGTGAGAAGAGAAGCAGAAATTCTCTTTCTTGTGGACTTTACCATCTGTCCAACTAGGGAGAGGCAAGGAAACATGTTAGTTTTTTTAAGAAGAGACAGTGTCATTCTCACTTTTATATGCACCATGCAATCTTGTACAGTTCCTGTCACGTAATAATGGCTTACAAATTGTTGAGCATTTTTAATTGACAAAGAAATGATAAAATTTTGACAAGTATAATAACCATATCAGGGAAACAGACTCCCTAAAGCTCAGAAAAATAGATTTGATTCTATGGCCACAATGCAGATCACGAGGCCCTAAAAGATCATTCTAACAATATAATAATAAATTATCTTCATGTAGAAGCAGAGTTTGGTGACTAATTAAGTAAATGTGCCCCAACAGTAGTAAACCAACTGGTAAGTCCACATTACAAAGGCCTATGCACAACTAAAATGATGACCTGGATTTTGAGAGACAGGATTCCAGTGGTTATGAGCATGAACCACAGAGTTAGACTTTCCAAGTTTGAGTCCTAGCTCTACCATGTATTTGTTGTGTGACTTTGGACAAGGTATTTAGCCTCTATTTTCCTTAATATCTCTTTCTGTGACATGGAGGCTAATAGCATCTGCTTCATTGGCTTGTCAGGAGATTTAAATGAGCTCATGTGAATGAAATGCTTGGGATAGAACCTTGTACATAGTAAGCTGCACTGCATGGTATTTGTTGTTATATTACTGAATAGTTTAACTAGAAAAGAGGGGACTAAGAATTGGGGAAAAGATAGGAGATAGCAGTAAATGGTAGAGTTAAAAACAAGACATTTTTCTGTAGCACACCCATAAGAATAGAAAGGAAGTTACTGCATGTTCTGGTTCCACTTTGAAATCATTATCCCTCTATCAATTAGGAGAGGAGAGAGTGGGAGTTCTGTAAACAGAAGGCTGATATAGTGAGGCCAGAGAATTTGGTATATTCTGATGTATTCTGGTGAGGACATCTTGAAAGAAAACAAAGATGTCGTCTTAGTTACTTTTCTCACTGCCGGGACAAAATACACAACCCCCAAAGTTAAAAAAGGAAAGACTTATTGTAGCTCACAGTTTGTAGAGGTTTCAGTCCATCGTTGGCTGGCTCCAAGGGAGGGTGGCATGGCAGAGGGGCATCAGAGAGGAGAAACAGTTCATGACAGGCAGATGGCAGCAAAGCAAAAGGCAAGGCAACGAGCAGCGAAGTAGTGCAGCAATAAGGGACCAGCAGTGACAACAGCAACCTTCTTTCTGTTCCTTATAGTCTATCCGGGCTACCTGACCTTAGGGTGAGTAGCACACGCAGGATTAAGCCCCTTAACCTTAGCATCTCATCAAGAATCAACCCCAGCATCACATCCTTGATCCCAGCATCACACACTCTAGATCCAGCCACCTCTGAAAAGCCCCACCTATGACCACACAAGGCTTTGGGGAGACATCTAGAACATCTAGACAGAAGCCATAACAGATGTGTCAACGTCTATGTATGGAAAATGAATCTATTTTCCAAGGAGAAGAATCTCTGATATTCAAATCTTGGAAGTGTGAGGCCAGGGTATGCACTGCAAATTCAAAACTAAGGTTTCATCATGTGAGAGGGATAATAGAAGAAGAGAATGGAAATGGGTGGCACACAGGCATTTTAAGGAATAGTTTTGAAAATCCAAAAACTTGGAATGAACTAAAACTTATGATAAGTGTCAGAGACTACAGTGATTTTTTTGGAATAATTGTTCAGAATAAAGAATAGTAGGCCACAGTTCCAACCTCTGTTTTACTTTCATTTTTTACAAAGAGTATAGCACAAATATGGCTTAAATAAGTTCAAGTTTCTTTCCAGATGTCCTTATCAAAATTGTTCTTGGTGTCTTTAAATAGCCATGTAGAATGGAAAAACTGCCCAGCTTTATATGTTCATATTACTGCTTCTTCTTTCTTTTTTGATCATGTTTGCAAATTTCTATGTGTTTCCTGTAAACATCATGTCATTGAATTTTTACAAAATTTTTCTATTCTATTTTCAACAAAATATAAATATAACCATTTTATATTTGCAAACATACTATTATGCTTTGTTTTGCTTCTCTCCATCTTGTTTAACAATTCATTTTTTGTATTTTTCTGCACAAACCATTTTAGTTGTACTATCTTGTCCAGAGATTTAAAATGTTTGACATTTTTCAGAAGTATTTCAAAGACCTTCTTGCAGCATGATGAATTATCAAATAGCTCCATAGCCTACCCTTTTGTCTAATTCTTAATCGCTTAAATTGAGATTTACCATCTTCTGCTATAATCAATGTCCACTCACGTAGAAGACCTAGCAGTAGTTTGAAGGACGATTGTGGACTGTTGTGACAGTATCTCCCATTTATTCAGTAGTATCTGCAGTGTATCTTTTAGACATTCCTTAAGGACATTCCATAAAAAGATCTGATTCTTTTCTGATTTCAAGTCCTGTTTCAAGACTCTTTCTCTTTTTCCTCCTTCCATATTTCTTGTACCATTTGTCAGGACTTAGGTGAGGGAAGGTAGCAGATTCTGTGGAAGTCTCCATCTCCACGAATACATGGCATGCCATATTTTAAGAAGTTCTGTGAAAAACCAGAGGAACTTGGCCTAGATGGGTGAGGAAGTGATTCTAAATGATGTGCAAATTAAGAAATGTAAGTCTTTATGTCTAGAAAAGGGAAAAGATAAGTGGAATGTGTCAGCCATTTTCACATGCCCACTGGCATATGCAAAGAAGGGGAATAACTGAGCCAAATGGAACTTCTAGTTTCAGATTTTTGCGGAATCTCCACACTGATTTCCACAGTGGTTTTAGTACATTACATTCTCACATCCCTTTGAGATGGGGTATGTCAGACCAAGGTGAGTGTAATTTAATTTCTTTCTCAGTGGGTTCGTTATTAGTGACAGAAACAGTGTTGTGTATTGATTTTGTATGTATATTACTGAATTTGGTTACTCTTAGAGTCTTTTGACGGATTTTTTTGAGTCTTCTATGTATAGAACATGTCATCTGTAAATAATGGTAATTTGACTTCCTCCTTTCCTATATGTTTCCTTTTTATTTCATTTTCTTGATTAATTGCTCTTGCTAATATTTCTAGTACTATGTTGAACAGGAGTAGTGATAGTGGACATCCTTGTCTTGTTCCTGATTTTCAAGGGAAAGATTTCAATTTTTCCCCATTTAATATGATGTTGGCAGTAGGCTTGTCATAAATGACTTTTATCAGATTGAGATAAGGTCCTTCTATACTTATTTTCATCATTGTTTTTATCATGAAAGGATGTTGTATTTTGTCTAAGGTTTTTTTTTTGCATCTGCTGAGATGATCACATGATTTTTGTCCTTGCTTTTATTTATGTGATGGGTTACATTTATTGATTTGTGTATGCTGAACTATCCTTGCATTTCTGGGAGGTGTTACTCTTTCAATAAAATGAGTTTATTTAAATATCGTTCTTTGGCATATTATGGTTTAGTTTTGAGTTATGTTGTATGAATACCACCTATACTGATAGCAGCCAATGCTTTAAAATATCATAAGTATTTTATTATGTAACATGCTGATTTGAGTACAGAGTAAATAAATTAATTTATAACATCTGCTGCTATAATTTAGGGTTTTGTGAAGAAATGGAAACTGGCAAGTAAATGACTATGGGTATTACTATCAGATAATAACTGTAGTCAACTATGCTAAATAAAACTGCCATTTCAGGTCCTCAGAGAAGCAGACACCAAGATGGAATAAGAAGTGAGGGGGAGAGGGAGAAGGGAAAGCAAAGGAAATCTTTAGACCTAGATGAGGTTGGATACTTGAGGAAGTTGAGAAAGTAAAGGAAATAGAATGGGGTACAAAGGCTCCCAAAGGGAGATAGCTCAGAGAATGTCTGTCAGCTGAAAGGTGAGGTCTGTTATGAGAGACTACAGAAGAGTGCACTGTTGGAAAGACACAGCCAGACCTTAATTTCCTCATGGTTCTAGGTCATTTAGAGTTTTGTAGGCAGATCGTGACCTCTGTTCCAACATTGCAGCAGGTCTGAATTGCTGGAACTGTCACCTACCTCTACTTCTTTTGACAAATACTTTCCTCAAGGGAGAATTTGACCAGTGCACATTCATGGCTGCCGCAAAATCCAGGCCGTATTTCTTTTTGATGCTGGGGAGTGTGTATGCATACTTGAAGGCATAATTTGACATTATTGGTTCTGGTTTCCCTTGGCTCCTGTTTGTTTCACTCTATTTTCATTGCTTCAAGTCTTTTGATTCCATTTGTTTTTTTTTCCCTCCATCCATCTGATATATGATATGAATGGTTCTATTTATGTATAATTTTGCCTAAACCGATTCAAAAATAAAATATCCTTTATTAGGATGTGACGGTAAAAATGCTCTGTAAAGACATGGGGTTTTAAAAACTTAAGAGTTTTTCATGTTATTGCTCTAGTCTGGCGGCAAGAAGAACTTACACGCATTAACCAGTGTCTTACTGGAGCTGAAAGGAAAGCTGCTTTGTGCGAACTTTTGGAAAAAGAGACCCAGATAATTGCTTCCATTGGGAGACATAGACACATTGCTCGTATGGAGAGCCAGGAAGAAGTCATACAAGCTTTTTTGGATAAGGTTAGTGAAATAACTGCTATTTAAAATATAAATATATTCTCATTTAACATGTAGAATAATGATCCAAAGGAAACACCTATAATGTAAAAATTTACTTGAATTTTTGTTTAGTATTTTGATAACATTTCTTTACATTCTAAATGTTTATTCTTCTGATATAGCTGTAGCTTTTTTAGCTGCAGCCTAGAATAAAGAATGGTAAGTAACATGAAATTAACATGTTCTTAACTAAAGGTGTTTAGCCCTGAAAGAAAAGATGGGGCCACCTTCCTGTGACTTAGGCTGACTACAGGAATCAGATGAGTTGCACACTTGGCTGAAATACAGAGTATTACAGTCACACAGTGTCAGGGTCTGGGTGCCCCAATAGTAAGCAACATGGGGAAAACAGGATGAGTGTTGCTGCTTTGACTCACCATACTATCGACTGATTGGAAATTTCTAGTGAAAAAAATATATGGTTATTGAAGACCATGAAAGCATGCAATTAAAGGAAAAACTAAAGTAATTACTTGTTTGTGGTGTAAACTGCCTGTTTGGTATTGAATAGCCTGTTTCCATAGTAACAGATTTCCTTTTATAAACCTGATCTTTCCAAACAATTAAAGGCTAATGCAGCCTGAAGAAAAGGATCCAGTTCCCAAAGATACTACCCTCCAGTGATTCTAGTTCTGTGTGTCTTACTCTTTGAGGATATTTGCTACTGCAAACCATTGTTTGATACTTTACCCTTCTCTTGTCTTACTTACATACTTTGGTATTTTATTACAGTTTGTCTTTGCCTTTAACTACAGTTCTGGTTTCATATCAGACCCTCAGAAGCTTCCAAACTATGTATCCACTTTCCTACTGTGATTGTTCTGTGGAAATCTCTAGACGACTCTAAGTCATATCCTCTCCATCTGTTGCCCCCTCATCTCCACACTGATCCTATGGTGTAGCACCCATGTAACCTATCTCTGTGAATGTTTCATCCTCGGAAACCTGGACATTATTCTTGATTTCCCATCTACTTATCAACCCGTTTTTTCCCCATTGCTTGAATATTTCCTTAATTCTGTACTCCTTCCTTTTCAAAACTAATATCATTGATTTCAGGGAAAGCATTATGCTGTGGCATCCTGAAGACCTCACCTGTATCACATGTGAACCACACCTAATCTGAGTCTTGTTGGAATGCCCTGTGATCTTCTGCAACACAAAGATGGGAAGAGGCTTTTGAGGAACTGCTCTGGGCAATTTCCCCTGCCTCCCTATTTTCCCTGGGAGAATGTCATGGGATAGGCCTTGTCCTTTCTTTTCTTGCATGTGTGAGATCAACACTTATTTAATTGAATTAAGACTTCCTTCTCATATGGATTATTTTGTCTGACTATTGTCTCTAGTCTTACTGTCCACTTTCCTCCACCATCCACATCACTGCCATAATGGGCTCGTTAAATGCACCTCTGATCCTGTCTCTGCCTACTGCCCCAAAGGAATAGTGACTTTCATGATTTACTCTTTGTACCCTCCTTCACTCCATGGTTGTTTCCATCATCATTCCTTGTACACTGCATGCATATTGGTCCAGAGGTGCTCAATGACTCTCATGTCCCCAGGAAGGCCATGCATTCTTGATGCTTTTGTATCTGGGGTTGTCTCTACATGAAGCATCCTTTCCCAGCTTCCTTAGTGACCAGTTGCTCACCCTTTAGAGCTAGCTCAGATGCCTCTCCTTCTAGGGGCTAACCACGGGTCCTTCTACTCTAGCCCGAGCCATGTACTCTCAGGGGACTTTGTTTTATTGCTGTTTTTGTACACACTGGTCATTTTAAATTGTCTTTATTAAATGTCCAAATCCAAGATTCTGAACTTCTTAAAGCAAGAGGAATCTTTTATATCTCTATCTTCATATCTCAGAGTATTGATACATGCTTGTGGAGGAAAAAAGGGAAGAAAAATAAGGGACAAAAACAATGTTGTATAATTTTATATTCCAAATAACATCAAGAAATTATGTAATGCAGACGCTGTCATTTGAAATCTTTTAATACCTTAATTCTGGGAAAGATGAATCTATTGTAGGGAAGCATAATATTCACAATGTCTCCAAAGTAATATTTCAAACTAAACTCATTCCATTAGCAAGTTGCTTTATCTTGCATCCAAGTTTCATCACGGGAGCTGTGTTTGCACATGTCTGATTGTTAACCTCCCAGAGAGGACGCCGTGGAGCAATGTGGGTGACAGAGCCAGAGGCTTCTAAGTGCCAGTGGGCAGAGAAATGGTGATGTCCCCACTCTGTATTGTAAGGCCAAGACTTTACAGTTTCCTACTTGTGCTCCATTTCCTATAAGCTGTTTTAAAGTCTACTGTAGTAAATATTTTTAATGTTCTGAACAACCTGCTTCTCCAGACTCCATGCCTCTAATCGGTTTTTGAAATTATATAACAGAGATCCTCAGTAGATCAAGGCCCAACATATGAAAGTGTCTTCAGATTTGATTGATCCATTATTCTTTCTCATGAAACAGAAGATCTTTAGGTAAATTTCACTTAAAAAAAGATGAGATAGGGAAATTTTGTTCACAAGAATTCCTATGAGGAAGGAAAATTTGTTTTTGTTTTTGTTTTTTCTAATACTTTGACAAGTGTTTGGGTAGAATCTGAGACCCGTAAGGATCCTAAGTATGAGCAGGATTCTGTGAAAGGAAAACAAAGGTCTTTTGAGTGGTCTACTGGGGAGAAAATAGAGTGAGGAAACAGCTGAAAGGTAGTGAGGACAGTGTGACTTTTTGTGCCTTCCTTAATTATGCTACTAAATAAATGACTTTTTGTTGAAAACCCTTATACCAGGTATATTCTTCTTTATGCCTGTCCACATACCCTTTTTTTATGCCTGGTTGTATCTTTGTTATTTAGGAGGAGTGTTAATTTCATAAATTTTAATTGAAGCAACTTCTTATCTTACAGATTTTATGTTTGGTTCTAAGAAAAAAATCGCTGATAATTAAACCCTAAATCCACACAGATGGTTTTTACAGATGTTAAAACTAACAAATAACCAAAGCCATCGTGTAAATTTTAAGATTTACATTTAGCATCATAATGTGGATATTTAAAGAGAAATATTTACTTTCCTATAGTTTGGAAATAACTTTAGAGAATAAATTTCATGTTTATATTTTAGTTTAAATTCTTTGAGCCCTTGCCGGGGATTTAGCTCAGTGGTTCCAACCACCTGCCTTGCAAGTGCATGGTCCCGAGTTCAATCCCCAGTACCAAAAATAAAAAATAAAAATAAATTCATTAAGCCCAAATCCTATGTGGTCTATTGAAACAATATTTTATATTTTATCTTCTTTACGACCATAGAACTTCTCTGAATAATGAATGATATGATTTAAAATTAGTCTAATCAAGGAACTGAATGAATAACTATCATGGTTTTTATAAACTAAGTTCTCATTCCTAATAAAAAGCTTGCTCCGTCTAAAGATTTTTTTGAAGTATTAATTTGTAATTTTACACATCAAACGTTGATTTTCACAAGTTATCAAATATTAAAGAAATTCAGGTCAAGAAATTTGAATGAAAAATCATTAGCTAGTCTCTAATATATCTTGGGTACTCTTTACTCAAACTACATGAAGCAATATTTGGATTTTTGTAAGAGCTTCTCCTTAGAGTCAAGACCATTTATTCCTTTCATTCTCTTTGATTTGTGCACCACTTCTCAAAATCATAAGCTTAAAAAACTGTAGTTCGTGTTAACTGTGTCATTTTAATGCTTTTTCTCCAAACTCAGGTGGCCAACAGCTAATGGGGTAGAAATTCCATCCACCTCTTTCTGGGCAGTGCATTAAACAAGGGGCGTCATTCTGAATAAACAGAACCCCTGTGCGATGTAAAAGAAAACTCGATCTTGGCCAAGTGCTTTTGGGGGCTTGAACTCATGCTTAATTTGTGCCCTTAGGGACTTGAGAATTAATTTAAGAGGAAGAAAAGACTTACTCTCAGAAGGCAGTCATTTCTCCTCTTTTTTAGAGGCCTGCTGCTCTCAAGGTTTGTGTTATCTTTCTCCCTTGCTTCCCTGAAGTGTGTCTCTCTGCTGTTCTTGTTTCTCTGTCCCAGAGCCTATGCTGTCTTATTTGTTGGCAGCTAAATGGAATTTATTGCATTCTTATTTTCTGAAGCAATTTTAAAATATGATTGTTGTACATCTGTTATTATAGCCAAAGCATTGAAAGAAAAAAAAATAGGAAAGAGAAGTAAATGAAGTTGACATTTTCCTGAGTCAGAGTAAAAAAGCACCTTCAGGCTTGAAATCAAAGAAGTGAAGCCTACACTTGAAGACCAAGTTATCAGAGTTGGCAGAAATACATCTAAGTATAAAAAAAGCAAACGGATTTTTTTATATGTATCTTCCCTGTTCCAGCTCTAGGAAACTTGAACTTCAAATCTAGCATTCTTTGTTTCACTCAGTTCCCTTTAATCTGGCTAACTTCTAGTTATTTTTCAGCTTTCATCCAGATACTATTTTCATTTCACTATCTAAGTGCTTTATAGCCACCCATAGTTAACTACTTATTGGCAATCATTAACCATACTCACCCTTTCCTTAACTACTTGTTTTCTTACCTTTACATTTCATGAGATTTGAGAGCTCTTGAAGTCAGGACAATATTTTACCTACTCAGTACCTAGTATACAACTATATAGAAGCAAACACAGTAAATATTTGTTAAATGAACAAATCAACACTGTCAAATATATAGAATTAAATGAGGAACATATTTGTTATAATATTTTGGGGCAAATAGAATTACTCATAAAATAATTATAGAACAATTTGAATCTGAATTTCACTGCCCCAAGTGATTGAAAAAGAGACCCTGCATACCTGTGTGTTTGTGTCTTTCTACAATTGTGATATGATTTCAGATATAAGTGATGTCATTGGTTCAAAACATAGTATTACAGGAATCTTTATGGAAAAGTTAGGGTTGAATTCAAAATTAAGGGATGGGAAAAATTTAGATATAGAATATATTTGGAAAAGCCTTAGATATTGTCATGTTATAGTGTATTTCTTATGACTAAAAACTTGGAGATAAGGTAGAATCAAATCAGTGCATTTTAGGCTCCCCAAAGCCAATTGGCATCAACTGAAAAAATGCAGTGTAGATAAAGTATGCATTTCATAAAATATCACCATAAAGATAATTACAAATGGAAAAGGTTAGTGTGCAGAGCAAAAGGTATTGTTCACGTTACTGGTAGAAAGAAAATTATATTTAAAAGACTTACCTTGATTACAACTGCATCCAAAGATTAAGATGTTAGTTAGACTTTAGAATATTGTAATATGAAACTTAGCCTAAGCCTTATTACTTAAAATTTTTGAAGTTTTGAGACAAACACTATATGTCTGTAACATTCCAAGGATTACCCAGAACAAGGCTATATCCACTTAAAATTTTATTTTTGTGAAAATAACTAAATAATAAAATATTTTGATACTGAGATATTTCCTTTTTATAATTCTTTAATCAATTTACTTAATTCTATCAATCTGCTAATTAATACCTTCTATATTATGAAATTTGTGGTCTAATAATATAAATTACACAGCTGCAGCTTCTCATTTGCCAAATTAAAACTAGTAAAAATCTAAAACTTTCTTAGTAAATGTTGCTAGTGTAAGCAACATTCATTTTTGCTTTGACCTGAATATAATGACATTATTTTGGAAAAGTAGCAAATATACTTGTTTGTAAGAGGAGTCTCCCTAGTTCACAATGTAACTTTGCTAATATGAAATGTAAAAACTTAAGGATGAATTGATAATTGTTATAACTAAAAAGTTCTTCACAACACTGTCACTCAAAATACAGCTTTATGTTATTCCTCCACTTGGTATTCTATAATCCTAATGATTTGTTCCAATATGTAGAGCTTCTATTTACATTTTAAATTATTTCATAGCTCTGATTTAAATGGTTGCAAGTATGACACAAGTTGGGCTACAAGGATTTCAAAACAGTTACCAATTAACCTATGAAAGCATCCAACATTTGAACAGCTAACAATTGTGGTCGACATAGCCCTGTTTCTGAAAGATTTATAATCAGGGAAACAGAACTGCATTTTACCCTAAAGTAGAAGAGCAAATAAGCAGTACATTATTGTTGTGACATTTCTAGGTGAATGCGTCTTCTAGAGGGAACTGAAATAGTGGCATGCACAGAGGTATTATCACTGAAGATTATGCTGGTATCCTGTAGTCTGTAGAGGACTCATTCGTCATCCTGTTTGCTGGTTTCTGACTTCTTAGCCTGAGAGTCCTTAGATGAACTCTGCAACAGGTGAACTCCATCACTCTTCCTCAGTTGAGGCAGTGGGCTAGAATGGGAGGCATCAAGCCAAATGTGGAAATAGAAAGTGAGAATGTTAGCCATCATTAGGGTGGTAAACATCACAGCACTGCTAAGATAATTAAATACAACAGCTCCTCATAGCCACAGGGGATGTAGGACCCACGGGATGGCAAACTTCACAGTTGCTCAAGTCTCATATAAAATGGCATAGTATTTGCCTGTAATCTATGTGCATCTTCCCATATACTTTAAATCATCTTTAGATACTTATAACATCTAACACAATAAAAATAACTCTAAAATGTTTGTTATACTGCACTGTTTTGGAAATCTTGACAATAAAATAGATTTGTACATGTTCAATACAGATGTAATTTTCAAAACAATATTTTTGATCTGTGGTTGGCTAAATCTGAGGATTCAGAACTTATAAATAGAGAAGGATAATTGTATGTATAGCTTTTTCATGATGGATATCTGCTTGATGAGGAATTTTGGAATTTTTAGATTTACTTTTATATTGAACACTAAACCATAACTCACACAGTCCCTTTTTGCTATATTTCTAGGTCTAAACTATCAAGGTTTGCTGTAACTTCACCATAAAAATGATCTTTAATTGAAAAGGCATGATTAAAACACACTATACATGGGGGCTGGGGATTTAGCTCAGTGGTTCCAGCGCCTGCCTCAAAAGTGCAAGGATCCGAGTTTGATCCCCGGTACCAAAAAAAAAACAAAACCAAAAAAACCACACTATACACATTCAATATAATTGAACCAAACAGATATACTCCAGTTAGTACAAGTTAGTTGCAAATTCTGACTTCTATTGAAGTGTTTCCTTTTCCACAGACTGAACAGCTCTCTTTTTTCTCTAAATGGTTTTACTTTACTGTTCTATAAATTCTTCAATTAATTTTAAGTTTCAGTGATTCTTTTAGTCACAAATGGGATTAAGGTAAACTACTAGCAGAAGGAATAAAATTGTAGTCTTTGGCTAAGTATAATTATAAACATAATATTATTTTCAAGTGTTCAAGTCCAAAGATGTGGAGAAGACCTGATGGTAAATTAATTGAGATGGATACACAGTTCACAATCAGAGCCAGAGAGCTGCAAAACATTTATAAGTGCATCAGGCTGCAAAATATCTCTCAAGATGAGCGATTGGATATACTCCTGACACTGAAGCACACTGTGAAGGTATGTTAAGTTTCTCTTAGAGTTGGGGTAGAATATACTATCAGTAAAAAATTAGTTGAATACTGAAATAAGCAAAATATTTTTGCATTATGTAATTATAAAGATTATTAATGTGATTATATATACATTTTTCATATAGAAAAATATATTGTTTTGTTTGGGAAAAAGGTTTATAAATTCATATTTATCTGAAAACATTCGAAATATATATTATGAGAGATAAAATGTAAACAGCACAATGAATTTTTAAATATGTAAATATAGCTTTATGCAATCTATGCAAATATATGCAAATACACATGAGATTAATAGTTATTTCGATAAAACAGCAATAATTAGCTATATTATGTACCTTTTGGACATTTTTAAATGAACTATTTTTAGCAGTTTTAAAACAGCACTATTATATATGTTTTTCTCATCCATTTTTGATTTTCTGTGTTTTTAATCCTACTTTGAATGAAAATCAAGTTAGTGGACAGCACACACAGGTCAAGTTTCCTCAGGAAACAGACTCTGATATGGGGGTTCCTGTGCAAGAATTTCACTGGAGAGTGCTCTTGGGATAGCTCCTGTGAGGCAGTACAACAAGCAGATGGAGAAATTCAGTTACAGTTGGGGGTCAGCAATGACTTTAGCCAATCTCACCAAAACTCTGAAGCTGGGCAGGGAGCCCTTGAGAGTTGTCCTGAGTTGAGGCAAATGATAGAGAAAGGCAGTTTACACCCACATGGACCTTTTCTGGATCTGAGCTGACCTTGAAAAGGAAGTGTAACTTGGATAAAGCATCTCTCTTCCTTAGCGGTTCTCAGAAAGGAATTCCTTGAGAGGTGAGTGGAGAATGGGAGTTTCCAGTTTGGATACAGCATATACCACACATGCTGCTTCTTGGATCCACCTGCTTCATTGGATCCACAGTTTTGGAAGCAGTTTCTCTGATTTGGATGGGCTCTTTTTCCTGGAGGAAATTTTAGGAGCAAGGTTAATGACAAAATCGACAGCACCTTTTGTAGTCATTGGCTTAATTTAAGGCATCAGAAAATACTCCTGGATCTTTCCTCTGCCATCCTTTTTAGACTTTCTTTGTTCTCAACTAGCACCTTTACTGATCTTGATGACCTGCCATTTTAGGAATGACCCATACCTTTAGGACTCAAGACTATAGGTCACTGGTCTTCTCAGGATGGGGCTCCTGGACTTCTATTTGTTGTCAAAATTAGGTAAGGGTATACCCAGTACCCAAGTACCCAAGAAAGACCCAGTACTTCAGTGCCAAACATATTCTTCCCTGCCCCACTGGGTAATAACAGCCCCAGCCATTGGAAGATCAGGATCGAGTCACTCCAGGTCTCTTAGCCCAGAGAACCAAGGTATAAAAGGACTCTTGCTGTGTCCTCCATTAGAAGCATTTTTTCTCTCCAGAAATTAGAACTCCTAAACTTGATGTTCCTGGAGTTTTAGGGAAAGTAAAACTTTCTCCAAGTAACAAGTTGGGCCATTTCTGCTTTCATGTTTGTCCTTAGGGCTGGGCAGTTTCAGAGGCTTCCACATGTTCTTTTTCATCAATGTTAGCTCTTAACCCACAGGTCAAGAAGTCAAGAGGGCAGAGTCTGTGCCAACTACCAAGTATTCTATTCCAATTACTTATCCAAGAATCAGGGAAATGAGCACTGGATGTCTCTGTGAATCCAGTGTATCCGTTATGAGCTGGACCTGGGCCAGGACGCCATTTATTTTTGGTTCCCACATACCCTTAACTGTCATAGGGTCCTGGACCTTTATTCCTCCACATTCATTAGTCATTTGATTCAGGATTCCCACAGAAAAAAGCATGACCTTTGATGAGGCAATTTTCTTAACCAAGATGGCTCTCTCCAGTGGTGTGCAGACCCAGAGAGAGGCTCGTGAAGAGTTGTCAGCTGCCACAACACGCAACATGCTTCATTCGAGGTGTGGGGGTAATCTGGGAAGCACACCTCAGCATTTGCTGCTATGTATATGTTTTTTATAGTCTTAAAGGGGAATTCTCTAGTATCATTAGAACCAATGGTGCCTGTCTTAGTTACTTTCTCCTTGCTGGGATGAAATACCCATCACTCACAGGTAAAAGGAGGAGAGGATTATTTTGGTTTACAGTTTGTACAGGTTTCAATTTAGTAGGCTGGCTCCAGGAAGGGCAGCAAGGCAGAAGAAAAGGAGCGCATAACAAGGCAGACAGAAGGCAACAGCAATCAAGGATGAGGATATAGATATTATATTATATTATATTATATATATCCAGGCCACGTCCACAGTGGCCCACCTGTTCCCACCAGACTTTACCTTCCAACATCACACCCAGCTATAAACCCATCTAAGGACTGATTCAGTGATGAGTATCACACACCCATGATCCAGTCACCTCCCTAAAAGCCCCGCCTATGAGTTCAGGAAGCCTTAGAGGCCACCCAGATATAAACCATAACAATCCCCTTGCTTTTTATAGCTCAAATTGAAGATCGTATCAGGCATATATTAGTCAATTATAAATTAATTAAATGAGCAATTCAGCTAAAAATACTTGGTTTCTGAATTGTGCTTTTTAGTTCTTGAAGATAGCAAGACACCTGACAGCCACTCTCTTCAGTTTATGGTAGATATCTCAATTGTTTCTAAATGGTCATTTGTATTAACTAAAGTTTGCACATAAGCAGTGGATCAGACACCTGCATGATCAGTCAGGTTTGATTATCAATATGACCCAAACTGCCAGGGCATATATAGGTATATACATACTAATGATCATCAATGGTTTGCTAAAATAACTGGAAAAAAGCCATATTTAGGTCCATCTAAGTAAGGTGCATGATTACATCCCCAAGAATTACACAAACATAACTCTCAGATACTCTATGTATGTTCTTTGCCCCTTAACTACAAAGAGCTATCATTTTTTTGAGAAATATAAGACTAAGGCATACAAATATTTTTTTTTCTTTTTGAGACAGGGTCTTGCTATGTAGTTTAGGCTGGCCTGGAACTTACTATGTAAACAAGGCTGGCTTTGAACTCACAGCGATCTTTCTGCCTCAGCTCCTCAAATGCTGGGATTACAGGTGTACATCACTCATACACATCTGCAAATCTCTTAAGACAAATTAAATAGTTGGGTAAGAGTTCTTACTGGGAGACAAGTTTTTATAGGTAGTTTACATTTCTGCTTTTAATGAGAAGAGGCACTGATGGCTTTTGTTCTAGAATACCTTTTCAAACATATTTTGTTGTAATTAGCCTTGACAGATGAAGCTATTAGAGAAGAAGAAACAATAAGTCTAGAGGTAGAAAATAAACATGGTGTTTATAGGGGGCAATAAAAAAATCCAGTTTGGTCAAAAGAGAGTGGAAATAAATATTCTTCTACCTGACATAAATAGGACAAATAGCTAGATAATTAAAACAGCCAAGGGTGAACTCAAAAGATAATCCATGCACATAAATAATTTAACCAAAATATTTATATATTCATTTATTTAATAATTTTGATAGAGGATTAAAATATTTAAGCATGGATCGAAGTCTGACTCCATGCATTTATAATTATACAACCTTAAATAAATTATTTAATATTTCTGTAAATTAGTTTCATCCTGTATAAAATTAGTCACTGTGCCTCATAAGTAGGGTGCTCTCAATAAATAACAGATACTATTCTGTTGACAATTATACTAGTGCATGTTTAACCTGGGTACACATTAGAAACACTTAGAGAACAAAGGGAGATCATGAATGATATGAAAATAAATGAGAATGATGTCTAGGCCTCATTTTGGAGCAGTTAAATTGGATCTTCAGGCTTGAAGGGAATATTAAAATCTCCACATCCTTCTAAAATTCCCCCAAGGCAAGGGACCATTGATGCAGACTTGTGTTAACTTTACCAAGTAGGTGCTAAAATGTATGGCAGAGCATCATTCTATAGTCACTGACTTTACCATCTGGCTCCTCCATTGAAACCATGTACCATCTACTTTGGGAAGTCAGAGGGACTTGCGTTTTATGACTAATAAATACCTGTACTTCCTCAATCCCTTAACTCCTACCTAGTGCTGCCTCATTCAACCATGCTCATTTTTATTACTTTATTAAAACATTATTAGGAAATACAATAAACACACATACAATAAATAGTTCAGCAAATACTAAGCGGGTCATTGAGAACATCCCCTATGTGCCTCTTTCCCATCTTATGAAAGCCTTTCTCTCATCTGTGAGAAATAATTACCCTGCTAACTTTCATGGGAGTCATTTCCTTAATTTTTCTCCATAGCTTTATTACCTCTGTGTAAATCTCTAAATAACATAGTTTAGTGTTATTTACTTTTGAATTATATTTAATGAAATTGTAGTACTATGTACTATGTAGTACATAATACATACTTGTATTATGCCTTGATAATTTTTTTCAAAATTACTGTGCAATATTTAAACATGGTATTAGTATGTAGCTATAGTTCTTTTTATGTGGAATTGGGGATTGAACTTAGGAACTTTGCACTGAGATAAATTTTCAGCCTGTTTTAATTTTTGTTTTTTGATCAAGGTCTCACTGAGTAGTTTAGGCTGGCCTTCAGCTCACTGTGTAGGTCAGAGTGGCCTCGAACTTGCAGTGATCCTCCTGCCTCAGCCTCCTGAGTGCTGGGATTACAGGCATATACCAACATGTTTGGCTAATTTTTGTTTTTGAAAACAGTGTCTCATAAGTAGTCCAGGCTGAATTTAAACTTGCAATCCTCCTGCCTCAGCCTCCTGGAGTGCTGAAATTACTGATGTATCCCACCACATCTGACTAGTTCATTCATTTTTATGCCTTAGATAATATTCTACTGAATGAATAACCTATAATTTATTTATATGATCAATTTTTAATGGATACAATATTTAGTTGTTTCTAATGTTTGGCTACTTTGAAAATAGCTCTACCTGCACACTTCTCTAAAGCACATATAAGTGGACTTGGTTATGCATATTAATTACTGTTAGATAATGCTATTGTCTCCAAATTATTTCTACCACTTTATATCCCTATTAGCACTGCTTCATTTCTCTTGGAATGTAGCTTCTGGTCTGTTTGAGTGGTAATTTCAAAAATGAACTTAATGATTTTTAAAATTTTATTCTCAACACTTATGTGTTTTGTATAGGAACATGAATGTGAACTGACCCAGGAAATCCTAGAATTGATTGACAGAGAAGTTGACCTTATGATGAGAGGAGTCAAACCTCAGAACCTTGAAGGACTCAGAAAAAGAATTACAACGCTCTTTTTTCATTACATAAAAACACCTCTGTTTAATCCTGAAGCTGCAAGATACCTTAAGGTACACTACTATTTCTCTTATATTCTTTTTTCCCCCCAGAATCATAAGACATGTTATATTCAAGTGGAAGATCTTCAAGTTTTGCCTTAACTCTTTACTTGGAATCTATGCTGAAAACTGTCTTATTTGTAAGATCTCCTTTGAATGATTATTATGTTAAGTACTCATTTAACTTCTATGTTTCTATGCTTGAATTCTTTTCTAATTACTGAAGCAACTTTCCAGTTAATACTGCATTACATGGATTCACTGTGATCTCTCACCCTTCCGTGGTTCTGTGTACACTGCTGATTCCACCTGAGAGGCCATCCTTGTTCTCACCAGCAAACTCCTACTTGGATTTTTAAATACTCAACTCTCATGTCCTTTCCATCATTAGTCCTCAAAGAAAGTTAAAATTTTCACTTCTGAGATTGTACATTGTCCTTTATTTCTCTTCCTTAAAATACTTATGGTCATAATTATTGGCAAACAGATCCATGTAGGTATCTGGAAAGAACTCCAAATGTGATTTGTATTTAAATTAAACTACCTTCTCCAACTTGCTTAGGCTTCTGGGGGACTTTGGTCTCTAAGCCAGGATAAGTGCTTCATTGTTTTCTGACTGTGCAAAACTTTTAAAAACACTTTTAGTAAATCTGCAAGGGGATTCTGGAGATTTCTAAAGAATTGTGTTTTTTAATTTCAGTGGTTATTTTTACAGCTGTAATTGAAGAAGCTGACAAAAAATCCTTAGCCTTTTGACAAAACAAAATCCACTAACCTTTAAAAAAATGTTTAATTTTTATTTGTTCTTTTTAATTGATTTTGAAAACTTCATTGTATTGTCAAAAGCATGCTAAATTGTAAATAACAAAAGCCCAAGTGAAAAGTTGCCCATTGTATTTTATTTTAGTCAGTATTTCATTTGTCCAAGCTAACTTCTAGCCCTTCTCTATAGATGTATTCAGTTTCTATACATTTGCAGCAATGTAATAGAGTGAATTTCATGTGCTACACTTTTACATAATGTTATAGCATCCTAATCACTTTTTAAATTTACTTTTGCTAAAATCCACCCCTTTTCATGAGTTTGAACAAATGACAAACAGCACAACCATGACAAAAACAGTCCAATGACCTCCTATAATTCCCTTATGCTTCCACTTTGTAGTCAGTGCTTTTCCTGAACCTTCTACTTTTTGCAAGCCCTGATTTGCGTTTCACTTCATGGTTTTATCTATTCAAGAATGTCTGTTATAGTTTAGATCTGAAATGTCCCCTGAAGTCTCATGTGTTGAGAGCTGAGGCTTTGGAAAGTGATAGGATAATGGGGGAGCTATGTTCATCAATGGATTAATCTATTGATGAGTTCATAGCTCAGTGTGCTATGAGGAGGTGGAGTCTGGCTAAAAAACATGTAACTGGGTGTATGACCTAGAAGGTGTGCTCTCATCCCTTCTCTCTCTCTCCTCCTCCCTCCTCCTCCTTCCTCCTCCTCCTCCTCCTCCTCTTCTTCTTCTTCTTTTTCTTCTTCCTCTCCCTCTCCCTCTCTCTCTCTGCTTCCAGCTGTCAGAGCTGAGCAGCTTTCCTCCACCCTGCCTTTCCACTTTCCATCATGATATTTCTGCCTTTAAACCATCTCACCATGAACTGAAACTTCTGAAACTATGAGCCAAAATAAACCTCTCCTCCTTTAAGTTAAAAATGTCAGGTATTTTGCCCCAGAGATTGGAGAATTACTAATACGATGTCATATAAATGGAATAATACTATTACGGAATTATATTTAGGCTTTGGAAATGACTTCTTTCACTCAGCATATTGCATTTATGATTTACCCTTGTTTTTGAGCATATCAGTAGATTTTTATAGCTGAACAACCTTTTTATTATCTGGACCCTGAAAGAAATTTATTTTTATCCTTTCATAGATGTAAGAAATTTAAGTTGTTTAGAATTTGGGGCTTTTATGAATAAAGTTATTATATACATTTGTTTTGAGTTTTAGGTAAATTGATTGGGATTAAATACCTAGGAAACTGTGTTGTTGAGTCAATGATAAATACATATTTACCTTTATAGGAGACTGCTAAACTGATTTGCCAAACTGGCATTACCAGATCACACACTCATCTGCAATTAAAGAGAGTCCCAGTTGTTTTGCATCCTTGTCGGTACTTGGCATTATCAGTTATTAATTTTGGAAATCCTTGCACAGTGTGTAGTGGTGTCTCATTATATTTTAATTTGTATTTTCCTAATAACTAATAATATTGAGCACCTCTTCATGTACTTTCTTGGCATATAAATTTTTTGATGAAGTTTTTCATATACCTTTTTTAGCATCCGCTTTTGTTGTTGGCTTTTTTTTTGTTATAAAATTTTGAGAATCTTAAACATTCTTCATGTAAGTTCTATTTAAAATTTTAATTGGTACATTTTAGATATACATAATGATAACATTGATCATAGGCAACTTGTACCTGTACATGATATATCTTGATTCTTCCTTTTTCCCCAATCCCCTCCTGCATGTAAGTTTGTAAGAAATGTATTTGAATATATTTTCTTTCAGTTTGTGACTTGTCATTATTCTATTAATAATATTTTAACAGGGTAGAAATTTTCGATTTTGAAGAAGCCTAATTTATTTTTGAAGTAGATTATAGTTTTGGTTTTGAATTTAAGCAGGCACAAGAATTTTCTCCTACATTTTATCCTAGAATTTTGTCATTTTATGTTTATAATTAGGTCTACAATCCATCCTGACTTATTTTTATAATGTAGAAAAGATTAATGAGTTATTTTCCTATTTTGTTTTAAAAATTATTCCTGTATAATTTTATGCACAGATAATTCTTCACTGAATTGTCTTGGCATTTTTGTTAAATGTAATTGTTTACTTTCTTCCACTCTGATCAAGAATTCTTAACTTGGAGTTAGCACCTACCTGAAGTAGAAGAAAGGCAAACCACAGTTTGTGAGACACTAGACATCTGGCCACAGATGACAGTGATCTCTGAAAGATAGGAAACAAATGAAGCAAGCCTGTAATTGTCCCCTCTCAATGCCTTGAAAGACTCTTCTGACTATGGAATAAGGAAAGAGAACAGGCTAAGCCCAGAGGATTCCTTGAGTTGAAAAGAAAAATCAAGCCTTTTCTTGGTCCTTGAGATTAACACAGATAAAGTTTTCAGGACATAAAGGTAGAAGTGAGAGAACTGTACAGAGAAAGAATTCTGGAGAATTGCAGTACTGCTTTCAGGTAATTCAGCTGAGTTCTGATCAGTGCATGAATATGAGGAAAGCATTCAAGGACAGGAAAGGTAACAATTCTAAGCATCAAACAGAGATAATTTCACAGTGCCCTTTCCCCAGACAAGACTGGAAAACCTCACAGTTCAGAATGTGAAGTAAGCATCAGAAAGGGTTGACTCAGTATATGGGAATAATTATCCCTAACCTGAGAGTGGCTTTGTTCTTGCTTTAAAAATCCTAAACAAGATCCAAAAAGATCAAACTGTTCACAAGTAACTTAACTGTGTTTCAGTGAAATGTTTATGAATATTTATAGGGAAAAATCCACCATTCAACAAGGTAAAATTTACAATAATAACATTCAATAAAATATTGTTAGATGTGTAAATAAAATATTGAAACTAGCATATGTTCAAAAGTTAAATCATAAAACATTTTTAAAATTGAGAAGAAAACTGTAACACATGAGATGAAAAATACATTGGGTTAAATTAATAGATTAGACATTGAAGAAGGAAAGATTACTGAGCTAGATGATGACAACAGAAAGTATTCAAAATGAAGCAGATGGAGAAAGAACAATAAAAAAAAAGAACATCACTAAACGTTAGGGTAATTTTAAGCAGCCTATTATATATATGATCAGTCTCCTAATGAGATTAGAGAAAGGGGATACAGAAAACATTTTGATGAAATGATAGCCAACGTTATAGTAAATTTGATGAAAAGAAATGAATCCACAGATCAAAGAACCTCAGTGAACCACTGACCAGAAGAAACATAAAATATATTACACCAAGTTACATCATAATCAAATTAGTCAAAATCAATGATAAGACAAAATTCAAAACATGAGCAGGGACAGAAAACACATATAGTGGGACAAAGATAAAAATGACTATGGATTTCTTACTGGAAACAATACAAGGGAGAAGACAGCCAAGGAATGTCTGTAAGCATCTGCAAAGAAGCTTTTATCTTCTCCTTTCTCACTTGTATTGACATATTTTTCCTTATAACACTGGCTTTACCTTCCAATGCAATATTAAGTGGGAATGGTAAGTGAATATAACCCTTTCCTCTTTGCAGTTTTAGATGGGAAAATATAAGATTTTCACCACTGAATGTAGCATCAGCTTTATATTTTTGTAGATGTCTTTTATCTGGCAAAAGAAGGTACCTTCAATTCCTAATTTGTTCATAGTGGTTTTGTTTCTGGTTTTGACTTTTAGCAATGGATGGATGTTGAGTTTGGTTAAGTTTTTCCTGTATTAATGGAAAAGATTATGTTTTTATTCCTCATATTACATCATTTTGATACTATGTTCTTCCTTATCTACTCTGCTTTATTTTAATTTTCTGTCTGTGTATCTCCTAAAAAATCAACATTAATAACTCTACTTGATTCCTGTATACACAGTAATTGCAGCTGTGATTGAATTCAGTAACCTAGAAACAAGCTAAATCATCTCTGAGCACTTGGAATATCTTCTTAACTCTTGCACTGAAGCTAATATATTTTATTCCATGACAGTAATCATGCATTACTTTTATTTAATCTCATTCAACTACAAGCATTTTTGAACATTATCTGTGTGCCTAGTAACAAGGGAGGCACAAAGAACATAGAGATGATTTACAGGGGTCTGAGAGTACCATCCTAGAGCAGCCAGGCAAACTCATATAACAAAGTGCTATAGAATCACAGAGGATGGTTTTTATGTCATGTAAATTCTCCAAAAGAACATGTCATGAACAAAAATGTGGAGTCTTCCAGTGTAGTAGAAAGTAAATTAAAAAAAAACACAAACATCTGTTGCTGTAGAAAGGTCTGGGATGGAAATAGACTTGGGAGTGCTTATCATTTGGATGATATTTGAAGCTGCTGGAGTACAAGATAGGATAGCAAAATTGGGGATTTTACTTTTCATTTTCAAACAAGATAGAAATAAAAATTGCAAAGATGTGAGAGCTCTTAGAGGCTGGAATGATAAAAACAGTGGGAAATAATACCTCATAGCAAAGAGGAATGGATATGCTTTGCAATAATCAAAGAATTCTATATCATATTGCTACAGAGGTACTACTCTGGTGTATGATCACAAGAATATTCTGACTCATTAATAGTTGGTCAAATTATGTTTTATATGTTCTATAAAGAAATGAAGTTTACAATATTTTAGTAAGATTTTTAGTAAGATTTTTATCAATTAAAACAAACTGTTTTGAGACAAGTTTTAGTTGGAAATTGCCAAAAAGAAACTTCTCATTTGTCAAAGATAGTTAATTAGTTCTGTTATTATTTAAAGAAAACATAATTTTATATAAAATGATCAAACAGAGTAACTATTTAATTCATCAAATAAATTCAAACTACAGCCCATAGTTTTCTACCAAATTTGAGATTACTTTTCTGTTTACATAAAAATAAAAGTTTAGCTCATATATTTGTGACATATCAATTAAAATAAAAGATTTAATTTTTCTAATATCTAGAACAAATCTATTGGTTATCCCTTGATCTTTCTACATTTTGGGGACATACTCTTTAATATCCCAAAGGACATTCACCAATAATAAACTGTTACTGACTTTCAAAGGGTGTGGCTTGTTTGTACGTTTTGAGTTTGCCTAGTGGGAGAACTTGAAGAAACACCATTACCCTGACACTACTTTCTGGGAGAGAGCCAGGGTGAGCATTCAGTGTTCTCTAGAGAATTCTTCCATAGCTAAGTTGCATAGCTTAGTTTAATCAGTGCTCTCCGCCATCATACTCATAATAGGGACAAGCTATCTTCTTTCTTGTTCAGTTTCAGATAGGTGGAGAATATCTTTGCATGGTTTTATAAATAGTCTATCCATGTAAAAGGGAGAGGTGTGTTAACCAGTTTTCATGAAGTTTCCTGATATATTTGTCCAGCTTAATTCCTGGGAGGCAAGAAGATAAAATAATTGTTCAAGACAAGCTTAATAGGTAAAACTCAGAATAAGAACTGGAAATGTTGCTTTCTGGTCCTTTGACTGCATGTCTAGATTATTCTTTAATCCAGAGGAATTGATTGTTTTAAATGTACATACTGTTTTACCATCAAGAATTATGACATGAAACAATGAACTTTTTTTAGTCGTCAGTACTTCTGTTTAGTATTTGCCTAACTTTTTTCCCTTCTCTTCCCTTCCTGTCCCACCTTGCCCCTTCCCTCCTCTCCTACTCCTCCCCTCCTTTCCCCTCCCCTCCCATCCCCTCCCTTCCCTTCCTTTCCTCTCCCTCCCTCCCTCCTCTCCTTTGTTCCTTCCCTTTTTTCTTTCTATTATTTAGGTTCCGCAAGACCCACTTAAGTTTTATAAGAAGATTTACTTTTGCCGTAGTTGCCAGCTGTATCTGCCTTCTACAGAATTTGCTGTTTCATCTATTTCACGCCATGTATTCAAGTGTCGTCACTGCGTTAACCTTGAGAATGAGGCACAACGACGAGAATCATTTTTGAAATATAAATGTTTACTTCAGCGGCTCCACTCTTCAGAAGCCAATTATGATGATGGTGCTCAAATTGCTTTCTTGATGCAGGTGAGATCAATAAGGGGTGCCAATGACTAACGTCTGTCTTTGAAGGAGATGGTCTTCTCAGGGGTTGTCTCGACAGAAGTATAGTGCAGTTGAACATAGTATCAGAAAAGATACTTGTGATTTCCTACTGCTGATGGTGATTGCATTCCTGACTTTTACATGTAGACATTTTCTTGGTATTTAAGTACTAAGCTATGTCCTGGGTATGCACTGGTGAACCAGACCTTATAGCTTAGAAAAGAAGACAGACATTAAAATCATTGTAAGTTTCTGTAACAACAAGTAACAGTCCTATGGGAGGAAGTACTGAGCACTACAAGGCATTAAAAGTGATACTACTGTATTCTGTGGGCCAGTAAAGGCTTCCTTGAGGATGTGACCTATAGGATGAGACAAAAGAGTGAGTAGGAGTTAATCTAGTGACCTTGATAAACAAAGCATCACAGGCCATGGGAATAGTATGCAGAAGACCCAGAGGCAGAAGTGACATTGTTCTTTCACAGCAGAGCTGATATCCAGCATGAGAGTCTGATTTTTAGACTGGGGAAATAGGATACATTTAACACTGTTGAAAAAAAAAAAACCTAGACAAGAGAAAGAGATTGAAGCACAGGTGCAGGACATTTGAACTAACATAACACATTCTAGCTCTGCAACATAACACCTCTGTTTGAGGACATGCTAAAATTGAACACACCTCAATCTACTTGCCTGTAAAATGGGAATATCAATTATACCTACTCACAGAAATTATATGAACATTAAGTAAGTTGATTATAGGGTAAGATAGTGTCTTTATACTATTATTTAAATAACATGAGCAAGGGAATAAAAGAAGCATAGTGTGTGGATTGGCCTTTGTTAAGATGAGGATTATCTCTTCTGTTCTCTATAAAAGAGAAAATAATCATTCTGTATCCTATGAGTTGCCTTCTGATAGTCTGTTTCCATTTGTTGAGAGATATCATGAAGGAGAGAATTATAAAATGTATGGATTGTATAGAATATTTGGTAGTGAAATTCTAGTCATTGCTGATGGGGGGAAAGAAATATGAAAAAGAAAACCAAAAATAAATTAGGACAGGTGTCAAGCACTTTTGATGACTGGGTTAGACACTTTCCTGTCACTCAGACAAAATACCCAACACCTACAGTTTAAAGAAGGAAACGTTTATTTTGACTCAGGGTTTCAGTCAATATTTGGCTGGATGCAAGGCAGAAAGAGCATGGCAGAGGAAAGCTGTGCACGGGATTATGGCCAGGAAGCAGAGAGAGAAGGCAGGAGAATGTACCCTTTCGAGTTATGGCCCCTGTGACCTGCTCCTTCTGACCCACCTCTGAATGTGAAATTTCGGGGGGACATTTTATATCTAAACCATAACAATGACACAATTAAGATGAGTGACCATGGCTTTACCTGGTACCAGTCTGCCTAAGATTTTATCAAGGTGTGTATAGGACGAATGTGAAGAATTGAAATCATTAGAGTTACACGTTTTACAAGAAAAACACAAGAAATGAAGGAAAGTTAGGGTACTGGTAGAATTGTAATAGAAAAAGTAGAATGTATAACATAAACTGTAAAAAGGAAGATAAAAATCACAAAAATGCTAATCAATGCAAAAACATAAAAAAGAACAATAAGATGATAATTCTGAGGAGGCCAGGAACCTACTGCATTAACAATGATAGACACACAAGCTGGAAGAGATTGAAGGTTCTATTCCGACTTGAGATCTGTGAAGGGTAGATTTCAGATGGGAGGAAGTTGAATGATGACAGATGTGGGCTGTGATTCTGAGAAAGGGAGTTGAAGGAGGAGGGAGGTGAGGGTTATTAATAGTGGAATGGTCAAGGATTTATACTGGGGCTGGTTAATGAGAGGTAGTTCTAGATTACCCAATGAAAGAGCTGGAGAGAGGAAGGGAGGTAGGAATCTGATTAGCTGAGTGGGAAGCTGGTGCTACAAAGATGAGTGGAGAAGTAATGCAGGACCTCTTTTGCTCATGTAGAAGTCCTAGGAAATCAAGGTGTGGTGGATATAGGTGGTTTATAGTATTGTCCAGGTAAATTCTGAACGTGGGCAGCTGCTGTTGGAATTGGAGTCCCATTCCTATTGATATTTGGGGCATCTGAGGCATAGATTAAGGAACCTCATAATTGAAAATAAAGATCATGTCACACTGTTGCTGAGATCAGAGGTGAGCCCCCTTCCGCTAGGCCTTTCTTGGCTCTTTATAGACAGCTAATGAGTGGACATTTCAACATGTCTGTCGAGAGTCTCTGCAGTTCTTTTGAAGTACACTCAAGATATTAAATAATAATATAATATTATTTCCACTTTTTTTTTCTGCCTCAAACTTGACAAGACTTTTTGTCAATTTTAAAATATATAAGAAGTTTGGAATTTTCCAAGAGGGAGGAGTGGGTAGTGAGAAATGATCCAGGAACTGCCTTAAAGAGAGGAAGAGGCCTAACATGAGGCCAGTTTCTATTCTTTTTCTTAACTTTCCCTGAGCTGAAACTGTGGGCACTAATAGTATCCAGTTACAAATATTGCTCCTTTTAGAACAAGATAGGGGTAAGATTTAAAAAATATTCTTTAGTGGACTATTATTCTACTAAATCAATATTCCTTAGTAGAAACATTAACCTAGCTTAAAAAAAACTTATAGGTTCCTTATAGAAAAAGGTAGTCTTTTCTTATGCTGTTGTGTGTATTATTATTCGGGACAGGCATTCAGTCTCCTGGTATTATTTACTTTATATTCATCCAAAGGGAAATAAAAATAATCATACATGCACTATTCATAAGTGCCCCCTCTTCTTGATATGGTTACCAGAGGCTATTTTGGGGAAAATGGGCTTGGGGAGCTCCCAACATCAACAACTTATTAAAAGAAACCCATAAAGAGCTATTGATTTCACTAATGACATTTGTGTTCACAGACCATCAGATAGGTCAAGTTTTCTGTAATTAAATTATTAATTAAAATAAACTAAGTTGAATTTAACACTAAATCAGAAACAGATAACACTATGAATAAAAACTTTAGGTGTTTAAAAAAATAGTTTCCCAAATGTAATGCACTTTGTTAAAAAAAAATGGCTCCAAATCAATAACTTTCAAATATTTTGATCATGATCTATACAGTAATATGTGCTTTTATCAAAACCTAGTGTAGGCATGGATGGCAGGATTAATGATGATAATAATAAACAACATTCAAACAGTGCTTATATCGCTCTACACACTATATGTTGGTTCAGCCAACATAATAATCCCACAAAAATAAGAATTATTTTCATTTTGCATATGAAGAAACTTAGGCTCTGAGAGGTTAACTGATTTTCCCAAGTTTACAGTAGTAAGTACCATCACTGGGTTCAAACCTAGACAGTTTAGTGCTGCCCCAGAAACAAAATGTTCCCAAAGTAATATTTACCTTTACTAGAATAGATGCCCTCAGATAGTTTCTATTCAATCCAAATCCACTCATTCTCATTCTAATCTTCCTTTGGAGAATTTGGTGTCACCCAAGAGGTAACAACAAACATATTTGAAACATATCTATATTTGAAAAATATAGATAAAAAATGATTACATATCTTTCATTGGAATTAGCACTTTATTAACAAAGATTATATTTATTGTGCTTTTCTTCAAGAATTGTTAATTTGACAGATGAATATGTCCTTTGTGGGAATTGTAGGTTAACGCTTTACAATAACTCACCAGGGGCCAGGGATTTAGCTCAGTGGTTTCGCCGCCTGCTGTGCAAGCGCAAGGACCCAAGTTCGATCCCCAGTACAAAAAAAAAAACAAAAAAACTCACCATTTGAATATTCAATATTTTATTAGGGTTGATTATCCAGAGATTTATTTATATGATAAAGGGATTTATTATAAAGGGTTGGCCTGCATGATTTTGGAGGCTGGCAGCTCCTATATTTGCAAAGCCAGTGCCTAGCTCAGATCTGGAGACTAGTAGGCTGCTGTTGAGTGAAGAAGAACAGATATCTTGATTCACAGGTTGTTAGGCAACAGAGTTCATCCTTCTTTGAGGGGAAAGTCAATCTTTTGTTCTATTTGATCCTTCCACTGATTGGATGAGGCCCACCCACATTGTGGAGGGTAATCTGCAGTACTCAGCCCACTGATTTAAATGTTAGTCTAATCCAAGGATATCTTTACAAAAACATCCAGAATGTCATTTGGTCAAATATCTGGAAACCCTTTGGCCCAGTCAAGTGAACGTGAAATTAATCATCACATATATTGAATAAAAAGATCCCAGGAAAGTGTTTTCACCTTTCAGATAAGATTAGTCTCTGATACTGTGCTTGGGTTGGATTTTGGCCCTCTTATCCTGCTTTTCTAATGTCTTGGATAAGTAGACAAATAGGAGTGCCCAATAGCGTTTTCCCTTGTAATTAATATAATTTTGATTAATATATATTTCAGCAATATTATTAGCTGGCATAATTTAAATATTTGAAATTTCTCATGAAATAGTAAAACTTATGGGCATTGACAAAAACGTACAGTATGCTGAATTTGAGCATGATGGCATGAACATTAAAAAGATGAAACCTAAGATATATAAAAAGTAAAGTTCAGCTAGGTGTGGTGGCACGTCCCTGAAATCCCAGCCCTCGGGAGGCTGAGGCAAGAGGATGGCCACGAGTCTGAGGCTGGCTTAGGCCATACAGGAAGTTGAAGGCCAGCCTGAACTACATAGTGAGACCCTTTATAAAAAAAAAAATTAAAGAAAAGTAAAAGTTCTTATACTTAGAGATTTTGAGTGTTTGAGTAGTCAGCTGATGTACCTGGAATCCATACAGATGCTACCAGATATAATGGGCGGTACTATTCCTCATTATTGCAGCAATTTCAAGTTTAATACTTACTGCACAGTAGCTAGTTCTTTGAAGTTACCAACCATACTTGTCATGTGCACATTTGACATTTACATGCAAATAAATATCTCATGCTCTTTGAAACTTTTTAAAATTGTTATTACGATTAATGCATTTTTAAAAAGAGTGTGAATAAGATACACATTTTAAATATAAGTGAAAATATATGAAACATTACATTTTAAAGTCCCATATATTCCTTTGCATAGCAGCTGTTATAGTATTGTCTTTTCTTTTGCGTGAAGTAAAAGTTAGGTTCCATTAGTTGAGCTTAATATGTTGAATTATTCATTTATGAAACAGTGTAGTAGGTTATAGTGACAAGGTCTTTTTCTTTTGAAGTTTGTTAAATTTAGGTTTTCTCTGCTGATTTTATAGAAAACATTCCCGCTTTCTCACACAAACTTTTAAAAATAATAATTCTTTTTTCAATGTTTATATTTTATCAGGCATGCTCTTAAATTTACATATAAAGAACTTGCGCTAAAAAGTGATTCTAAGAGGCTGGGAGTGTGCTGTAGTGATAAAGCACTTGCTTAATGTATTTGAGGTCCTGGGTTTGATCCTTTTTTGCTAATGCAGTTTAATTTTTTATAAAAGTTTAAGTGCTTGTTTCATTTCCCTACCTCTCCTTTTTAAAATTAGAACAACAAAATCTTATAGTTAAAACTAAATGACATCTTTATTAAAACTAAATGACATCTTTATTAAATCTCAGATTTCTCATTTGTAAAATGACAATAAATAGCTGTAAAAAGACCTTATATGGTCCTAAGAATAGTTGCTAATGATCTTTTAAAAATTATTTAGTACCATATATTTATTAAGGTACTAGTCAAGTATTATTAAGGTATAAGTAATTAGCATACAGAAAGAAATATATTCGGCTTACTGTAGGTTAAAGATGGAGTCATGATTTGAGGCTAACAATATAGTCAGAGCACAATGGACAGAAGTTTGGTAAAATACAAGGGACTACTAGATTCCACTGAAACCTTATGAATGGTGTTCATTAAAGTAGTCAATATAATTTAATTATTTTCTCCTCATATAATAATTTCTAAAAGTTTTATTTAGAGTAAAACAAAATTATTTTCAAACTTATTTTGACTTCAGCTCCAAGATATTCAATACCTGATAGAGAACATCTGGGCCCCCCAGTCTGTACTCAGTGCCTGGGGTGATCTCAATGAGCTGGTCATGGTCAGGTGGGATAAGGCCTTCGAGTGGTCCCCCTGGAATTGCATTCTTCTCACCAAAGACGAAGCGGCTGCTCATCTCAAGCTAGAAAGTATTGAAAAGGTAAGGAGTTGAACTTTCTTTGGGAAGTTAATTTGGTCATTGAAATTATTAGCTGTAACTTGATTACCTTTTTAAATGCATTCCCTGAGTGATCTAAATGCATCCATTGGATTGACAGATAGAATTTCTGGGTTAACAGTAAAAAATATGTGGATGGCATGTAATGGTAGAGGTTACAATGAAAAGGGAGAGAAGACATGTAACATGTAAAGAAAGAGATGTGAGTGTCTTAAGTATCTGTGATACCACACTCTACTAACAGCAAGTTCATGCATGTTAATTCCACAGTGAGTCCCATTAAGGCAAGGACCTGTTTCATTTATTTGCATCTATAGCTCAAATACATACACTCGTGCCTGTCACAAGCTAGAAATTTAATATGTATTTTTGAATAATTAATGACTATTACCACCACATAGGCATTTGGAATCCAGAATCTGTCCTTCTTTGATTAATCCTCATGAGTCTACCTAAAATCACTCAATTGTCAAATGAATCTTTTTCATAATTTTGTGCACTATATGGCAATCATACTGATGAGGCATCATTTGTCATTTGCTTCCAGCTAAGTAGGAGTGGAGAAAGCACTGAAAAAATTAAATGCCATTTAATTTCAGTAACTTACAAGATACAATCTGTAAAACATTTTGATGAACAAAACTGAGGGGCTTCTGAGGAGTTTGTAGAGAGCTCAGCTTACTCTAAGCAAGCCTAGGATCCTAAGGACTGATACTAATTCTCTGCCTTCAGTTGATTAAATTGCTGCACCTTTAGTTCCATATAAGATGCCAGGAAAATAAAGAAATAACATCATATAATAGTTATTTTCAATAGTAACATTCTTTGCCTAGTGTTATTTATTTTTCATTTTTGGGGAGGGGGAAGGTATAAAAAGAAGAAGCTAGTCAAATTTTTTTAGCTTTTTGTCAATAATTTTTCAGAGTTTTAAGAAGCTAGGCTAAGAAAATTTCACTCCAGGGATTGAAAGAAAGGACAGCAAAAAATTGAAGCAGTGTTAAATGTTATACTTAGTATACTAGGTTGCCTCATAAATATTTAATCACTGGAAGCTGAGCCAAGTCTAGCAATATCATTTCATTTAGGACTCACAATGAGATTGAAGTTCATTCCCAAAGCTGATATTTTAGTGCTTCTTCAATTAACCCATACAACTCTCTCTGTGCATTTGATCAAATTATTGCAGTATCAAATTAAATGCTCTATTCACATGTATTTCTAACTTCAAGATGCCAGTCGGTCTGGATTTCTGTAAATGGAGCAAAGAAACAAACCAAAATTCTAAAAACATTTGAATTTTTTATGTTTTGGGTGTAATCTTTTGAGTATGTTTTGGTATAATCTTTTAAGTATTATTATTCAGTTCACTTAAACAATAGTTTATGTTTTACAGAAAGTTAAGGCATTTCTAGAATTTCTTTCATGAACAAAGATATTTGCTTTCCCATAAAGTAAAATATATTTAAAACTTAAAATAATATTGATTCCCAGCAATCTCCAAGTTATAAAAAAGATATGGAAAAAGACTTCTGATCTGTGAACTTGCTAAGTAGGGCAGATTGATCTCTCAGTGTGCACACTGGGCAATGAGGGAACAATCAGGGAGTAAAAGTGAGCAGTCCTGACCCAGTTCTAACAATCTTCAGGACATTACAACCTGTCCTCTTTGCTTCATAATTTTTTAGAACATTAGCTAAAAATGCAGAATCATCACCTACCTCATATCTATCTTCCATATATGGAAAAAGGCTAAAGATGGTTGATAGGTGAGTCTTTCCACTACTAAAAATTTGTCTTTAAAAAGATTTCCTATAAACTTCACCCTATTGTGTGTGTGTGTGTGTAAGAAAAAATTATTACAGTGAAAAACACGTTTCTATTAATTCCCCTCAAAATACTTCCCTCTCTCTTGGACCACACACTTATCCCATTATTCTGGCCACTTTCTGAAGTAGTACTGGTAGTCCTCTTTCATGAATGTCTTTACAAGATGTGATTAAAAATATATGTGTAGTAAATGCTATTGCCAAGTGCCATCCAACAAAATGGCAGGCTTGTGAAAAACATAGTGTGTTTTCCTCCACCTTAGTTCATGGGTCTTGTACTGGGCAATGTCTGGCTCTTTCCAGATCAAAATGACATGTAAGGTAAACATTTTGAATTGATCCAGGACATTAAAGCAGCAACAACAGTACAATTCGACATGAGAGACTTTGAGAACAGCTTCAGAAAGTAGCTAGCATAATGAAATAAGTGTGTTCAAAAGAATGAAAATATTTTGAGGAGGATTAATGGCAATGTGTCTTTTATTGTAATAAAATTTTCAATATTTATGTAAATGTGCATTATATTCTCTGATCACACCTTATGCACATACATACATATATTTATGAAAACTTCTTATTAGTTACATGGTCACCCCAGATCAAATGAAGGCTAGAAAGCTGGGCATATCCCACCCCGTACAAAACCAAGCCTATGAATACAAATGGAATTGGGAATGAATATGTGTTGGATTGGTAACTACCAGCCTTTTGGACTTAGAGAGGTTGGAAGAAGGCTTCCAGGTTGAAGCATCATAGGAATTGAACCCTAAAAGACAAAGTGAGAAAAAAATGTATTCTGGGCTGAATGAACTGATAAACAAAAACACTGAGATAAGACATTTTTTACCTGGCAAAATATACCTGTGACTTTTAGTAGGAATTTATTTTCTTTTTTTTGCAGGGATATGGACTTGTATTTATTCACAAAATCAAACACAAACATATTCTGGCTAAGAACTACTTTTCTCAAATTCCAGTGCTGGCGTCATTTATACTTGATGGTGGTGAAATGGAAGAGATCAAAAGCAAATATCACACAGATACAGCACCAAAAATTATAGAAGTCCAGAGACCTTGTCCTTAGAGGATCCAGAAATATTTGATGATAAGAATTTTTGTCCACTGCTGATAGAGTAATACAGAGATCATATCATATGGAAATGAAGTTTTTCTTTGTTTTTTATAGTATTATAAGTTATGTGAAGAGAAAACATCCCTATATGAATATTTGATTGTTAGGCAGTTAGTGTTAAATTGAATTACAACATTGTTAACTGAAATTAATAGTTAAAAGTAAAGAGAACATTTTTACATATTTTCCATATTAAAGTTTTTAAAACATTTAAATGCTTTATAGTTGAAATAGAACAAACAAAAAACCTAAGCTTAACTTTCAACACAATTTATTTAAATGAACTATAACTATAAACAAAAAAAAATCTGCCTTCTATACTAGGAAGCAAGGTAAATCATGGAACTGTGGTGGTCCTGTGGGGTGAGGGAGTTCCTTCTGGGGCAATGTTAAAACTCTGCTGTAAGAATAAACTTGATCAAGTCAATTAAACAACACCCTTCTCCAGTAAACCAAAGGAATAAGCTTGACGATGTATCTGTCAGGGACCTGTGATGGTGAACAGTGGCCTATCAATCAGTCTTAACAGGAAAGAGATGACACATTCAAATAGCATAATTCAAGAAGATTTTCTACCATCCCCCCATTAAGTTTATTGGTCCATTTCTGGTATAAAATACATTTACATACATAATTGGGATGTTGTACCATTACATGAGTATCTTGGTTCTTTTTTTTTCCCCGTCCCCTGCCCTCCCTTCACCCGCTCCACCCTTCCCTATTTGCAAAGATTTCCATTTTTTTCCTTTGCTCATGTATTTTCTTTTCCCTTCTTTCCTTTCCCCTACCCCCCCACTTCCCCTGCTCCTTTAGACCTTTACTTCCTTTTACACAATATCGATTATATATTTTTAAAATTAAAATATCAAGACCTAGGAGACATTACCACAGATGTTACAGAATTTAAAAGGAT